AACACTGCATCTTCAAAGGCTTCAAGACATATTGGACACTCTACATTTTCCCCCTTACGCATTTCTTCTACACCTTCTTGAACATAAGCCCGTGAAGGCAGATCTTTGGCTTCCCCTTCCAAAGAATTCTGGCTGCCTTTAAGGAAACGCCCAGCTAGCTTATTCAGGTCAGAAAATTCTTGTGTATCACCTCGACTGAACAAATCAAACAAGCCTAATGCTTAGTTGTATGAACTTGAGACATTTTCCACTCTGCATTTTTACTCATTTACCGTAAATCCAATAAGTGGAAAAAAGGGGGGTTAACACACACCTCATCACAAGAAATGGATGATCACAACATTGGCGAAGACGTAAAAGTAACTCCAATATGGATGCATAATTATGAAGAACCCGTCCTTGCTCCACAAATTGATCAAACTTCACCTGATAATTAAAATAGACTTGTTAATGATACTGCATTATACAATAGATCAAAAGAACTGGCAATCAGGGAAATCCAAATATACCTTTGATCTTTTAAAGAGGGCCTCATAGAAGTCTTTTTCAGCTTCTGTGAGTTCACAGTAAATCACCTGAATATTAGAGTAAAGTTCCCCATTGTCGTTAGGATTCTAGATGAAACGAGAGAGTGCGGAAAGTAAAAAGAAAGAAAGAAAGATGCACAAATTCTTCTTCTGTTAAGAAATGTATAACTAATAAAATTTGCGACACAATAAATCCCGATTTTTGTTGTTATATTTAAAGAGTATAGTGGCGCGGGTATTATAAATGGAATATTTAAAAGTATAGCCGCCCGGCGATACCCTTTAAATAGAATATTTTCAAAGAACAACGGTGCGGCTATACTCTATAAATAGAAAATTTTAACAATATCGCCGCTTGGCTATACCATTTAAATAGAATATATTCAACGTATAGCCGGCCAGCCATACTTTATAAATGGAATATTTAACATTATAGCCGCACGGCTATACCTTTTAAATACCATGATCTGAATTTCTCTTTTGTAATTACTTTAATTATTGTTTACTTAGTGAATAATTATTTTATTAAAGAAAAACATTAGTTACTATTTCTTAAGTAATATGATTTATGAAGTTAATTAAAATATTTAATACTAATTATTCAATAAAGAAATAATAATAATAATATAATTGTATCTAACTAGAAAATCACAAGTACACATTGTACGTAATAGTTGTGTTAGTATATACTAATCATTGGTGCAAATCACCGCGATTCATTCTATAATATGAGTGTGGTGGGTGATATTACATTTACTTTTGCCTTTTCGTTTTGTCGGGGAGAGTTCAGGCCATATATACACCTTTGATGTTGCTTGCAATGCATTTATGCTTTTGGACTATTTTGATTGAATTGTGTTTAATCTTTTAAGTATCTTGTTGTGTCTTAAAGTTTGTGAATTATACCAGTTGATATACCTGAATATGGTCTGAATACATAACAAATCCAGAAAAAAAAA